TATGGATGTGGAACATTAATATCTACTGAGCATTAGTATTCTAATTCCTAATAGTATGTTTCTGGGCATACTCTTATTGTAATTTCCCTATCTTACACCCAACCAATGGGGTCTTTCAACATGCTATGTTGCTCTAGCTTGAGTAGTGGATTTGAAGGTAGAATCTTATGTATCAGAGTTAATTATAAGCTTGTTCCTATCTGATTCTCATAAACACACACATGTACAGTTTGAGGCACACATCATGGTGAGTGCTACAGGCTGTTCCATGGGGACACAACTGTATGCCATTGCCAAGACAGTTTTAGAGCCCTGGCTATGAGCACTGGCTTAGAAATTGCTGTTCCCAAGTTTAAAAGATGGATGATAGAGATGGGTCCCCTGGCCAAAAAAGGTTCCTGAATCTCAAAGCCACAGAGGCTTGCACAGTCTTGTGAAGAGGAATGATCCATTCTAAGTAGGGACACATATGATCCAAACTCAGGTCTCTCCTGTGGCCCACAGATGTCTTGATGCCAAATGTTTTCTATATTATTTGGGATCTTTGGTCTGCACATGGGGTCATAAATTTTGGCCTGTGTAACAAACAGCTGTGAATGCTTTTATACCCTCTTTCATGATGTCTTAGTTTCTTCTCTGTTGCTATCATAAAATGTTCTAACAGGGGTTGGAAAGAAGGCTTAGAAGTTAGGAACACTTACTATTCTTCCAGAGGACCCGGATTAGATACTCAATACCCATATGGTGGCTAACAACCATCTGTAACTCCAGTTCCAGGGGCTCCAACATCCTCTTGTGGCCTCTGCAGGGCTTTGCATGCATATGGTGCACTTACATACTTGCAAAGAAAACACTCATACACATAAAATAAGAAAAGATAAATAAACGCTCTAACAAAAGAAACTTAAGGGAAAAAAGGTTTATTCTGGTCGATAGTTCAAGGGTATATGTACTCCATCATGGAATGCAAGTCAAGGCAGCTGGTACTTGATGCAACTGCTCACATCAAATTAACAATCAGAAAGCAGAGAGTGATTAATGAATGATGCTGAGCAATTCCTTTTCTCAATTTTCATACAGTCCTGAACACTAACCAAGTAATGGTGCTGATAAAAGTGAACGGGTCTTTCCAACTCAATTAATGACATCAGGATAATCCCCCACAGATATGCTCAAAGGCCTTTCTCCTAAGTGATGATAGATTCTGTCAGGGTGACAAATAACACTATTAAATATACTGTACTGTCTGAGGTTGGGGAGGAGATGGTGAAGGTAATGTCAATGTCACTTGTCTTACTGAAGTTCTAGAAGCTTAGTCCCATGCATGGCTTAGTGAATGGGGATATTTGTTCAGCAATAGGTTTTACCCCTGTATGTCCTTATTGTGAACCTGGATTTATTTCTCTCACAGACCCCAAGTTAGAAGACCCTTTCTTGGTGCTTGGCTTCTTTCAAGAGTAGAGGATTGTTCTTTGTATCTTACTCCAAAAAAAAAAAAGAATCTTCTAATTTTAGTATGCTAAATTCAGGTACTGTGTTCCTACACATGACTACCTTAGTGCTTATGCTACTAGATTGGTGCATGATATTCCCCTTGGTTGACTTTGAGGAGAGAGATGGCTAGATAATCTTAGTTTCTGTACTGTTCTACCCCTATGTTAAAGTTTCATTCAGACACAGTTTTGGAAATGGCATGTAATTTCTGTGTTGCACTATTAAAATTTTAGTATTTATCTTTATTATTTCTCTTGAATGTATACAGATGGATTTATGTATCGTGTGAGGATTAGTTATTAATATCTATATAATAACATCATGGATACTTCTATATGTCCCTCTTCTTACCACTTGGACAATAGCAAAAATTTAGATAGGCACTTGGGAGATGGCTTCATAAGTAAAGTGTTACACAAGAATGAGGGCAGATTTGGGAAATCTCAAGTCCGAACATGAAAAGGCAATCATGCTGGTATGTGCATATGCAGAGAGGAGAATCCCTAGAGGTTTTTGGCTAGCTAGTGTTGATGAATTAATGATCTCATGCCCATGCATTTGTACTTACTCATATATGCACGCACACACACACACACACACACACACACATACACACACACACACACACACACACACTCATACACACACAAACACCAAATATACACAAAGGAAAATAAACAGGTAGTAGACCTGAGTTCAGATTGCAAGCCCCCACATTGAAAACTGAGCAGGTAGTATGCATCTGTAACCCTAGCACTGGTAAGAGCTGGAGAGACAGGTAGATACTGGGGTCCCACTGGCCAGTCAGTAAAGCTGAAACAGTGAAATTCAGGTTCACTGACAGATTCTGTCTCAAATATTTAAAATGGAAAAGATAAAGACATCAAGCATCAATCTCAAGCCTCTACATGTGCACACAATAGTAAATGTACCCAATACATACATGTACACACCACACACAAACAACATTCAGACTACACAAATAATAATGATAGTATATTTTTAAATGAGAAAGCCAGATGAAAAAAATATATGTGGGAGTAACCACACTCTCCATTGACAAATGTTGAGAATAGATATTTTTCTGTTTATATACTGAGGAAAAAGGGAGATACATACCCTATGTTAAAAAGAAATAAAAATTACCTTTCCTACTTGAATCTAAATAGAATTCCTGGTGTGTTAGGCAGCTTTCTGACACTGTAATAAATTCATGAGGTAAATCAACATTGAATGGGATTTGTGGCTCACAGTTTAGAGGCTTTAATCCATGTTTGACTGCCTCACTGCATTTAGACCTGTAGCTAAGCATTCATTTGTGTGTCTGGTGGGGCATTCACGGTAAAGGAAGCTTCTCTACTCACAGTGGTAAGGAAGGAAATGAAGAAGAGAGGACAGGACCACCTTTGAGGGCACACTCACAATGACCTAATTTCTTTCCATTGTGCTCTACCTCCTAGAGTTCTCTCTCTTCAACTGGCTGGGAATCACACCTTTATATCATACCTGCCAGAGAAAGATGCAAACTATCGCACCTGGATTGTCATTCTAGCCTTGTGAAATATAAACACAGCTATCCTAGTCAGCTACTTTTTTGATCCAGATTTGTGTACAAGATCCCTGGGCTCATTATCCCTTGATGTGTAAGCATATACCCTCAGAATTAGACAAGTCTCTTCAAATGTTTTTTTATTATTTGTACAGCTGAAATTAACTTGCTAAGTTTTACTCTTTAGCAACCTAAGTTTTTTAGAAAAATTTATTTCACAATTCCCCAAGTTTGTACAAATACAAAGTACTTTCTCTATATTTCACAATTACATCTCATGTGTTTCTTTCCAGTTTTGACTTCTGGCAAATTGTCCATATCATGCCACTCCACTGGTCATTTTATTTTAATTTGAACAACTGGGAGTAGGATAGATCTGTCTGATTTTACCTTAAATAAAACTGACGGAGAATTGCCAGCAGTAAGATAAGGCCTCTAAGGGTTTTATGAAGTCAGATCTGCAA